CGTCCTTGTGGATTACTAGGAATTTCTCTAGTGCCAGGTTTCTTGCTAGCCCTATAATGAATCCCACAATCAAGATATCTCTTTCCTTGCTCTCATTTCTGTCCTTCCTCCATCTCGACTATCCTATTCCCTTAAGTTATCCTCCCCACTTCCTTTCTTACCTCCTCTTCCCCTTCCACCTTCTCTTCTCCCCCAATCCCTATGCTCCCAATTCTGTCAGGTGATCTTATCTATTTCAACTTTACAGGTGGATTTATATATGTTTTTCTTAGGGTTCACTTTGTTACTTAGCTCTTCTGGTATCATGAACTATAGGCTCAATATCCTTTATTTATAGCTAGTATCCACTTATGAGTTAGCATATACCATATTCATCCTTTTGTGTCTGGGTTACCTCACTTAGGATGGTGTTTTCTAGTTTCATCCATTTGTATGCAAATTTCAAGATGTCATTGTTTTTTACTGCTGAATAGTACTCTAATGTGTAAATGTGTCATATTTTCTTTATCTATTCTTTGGTTGAGGGACATCTCAGTTGTTTCCAGGTTCTCTCTATTACAAATAATGCTACTATGAACATAGTTCAACAAATGTCTATGTAGTACAATTGAGCATCTTTTGTGTGCATGCCCAAGAGTGGTATTTCTGGGTCCTGAAGTAGGTTGATTCCCAATTTTCTGAGAAACCGCCATACTAATTTCCAAACTAACACATTAATTACCATAATAAATATAGTGACAATGTCAAGTCACAGAAATCATAAACCACTCTTATTTTAATAATCCCTGATAGATTTGTTGGTGTCTCCTGGCTCCTGACATGCTTTTTCTTTGGCCAAGGATACACCAACAAAATGTCCCTTTCAGGAAAATGATTAAACACGGGAAGCTGCTCTGACTTTCTCTGAAGAATTCTCACTCAGATCCAGAGCCATTGTAGGACACAAGCACATCTGTATTGTCTATTAATATCGATGCTCTGGAAGTCCTGGTCTGAACTATACTGTAAGAAAAGTGGGTGGTAACATTCATGTTTTGCAATCTATAACAGCTGCATGCTTTTAAATTTGCACATCTTCCTTGGCAGCTAAATCAGGAAAACACCTAGGGCAATCACAAATGTAGTTTCTTCTTAGAGCCGTGTAAGTACCATTTAGTCATATTTGGGGCAACATCAACAAAGGAACATTTATTAACTTTATAGCTATGTCACATACATTTAATTTGCATTTAAATTTATTAGAAAAGATTTCATTTTCTCAAGCAACTGATTACATTATATTGGTTTCATATAATATATGTGTGGCTGTCTCAAATAATGTATTCCAAATAGCATCTGTTTCAAATATCAATATTTTAATATCATATATATGTAAAATTATTCACAAGGAGAAAAATTTATAAAATGCCTTCTTAACCTTGGTCCAAAAGATTACTACTAAAGCCCAAAAATTCTTCCAGTGTTTCACATTTGACTCTGTAGCACAAGATCTTCCTGTCCGTCTGTCCCTCATCTGTGTTTAGACTGCCATGTATTTGCTACATTGCAGGAAATGTGGTGCATATATATGAACCCAGCACGACTATGCTCAGATGCTTGCTGACACCATGGCCATCCTGTCCCCATCTAAGATGTCTGAACATGGTGACTGACAGCAGCAGGATTCTCTCTGAAGCTGTGTCTGGGTCTCCAGGATGACTTTCTTATCCTGCTTTTTGGCTCTATTTGTCTGGAATATCCAGTGTACTCTCTTTTCCATTGTTTTACATCAATGGTGTTTTGTTTGTTTGTTTGTTATAGACAGAGTTGCTCTTTAACCAGAAAGGCCTGAAACTCTTGTTAATCTTCCTGCCCCATCCTATCAAGCATTCCAAATACAGCTGTACACCACTTGGATTGACTATATTTTTACAATCACAATTCATAGAAATTTTGTTTCTTGAATGTTCCTATATATGACTTTATTACTAATAATATTAAAAATGTTTTTCCTTCCAGTTTTCTGAGATAAAACTATTAACTGTAGTCAAATTCATGACTTTTGGATTTTAGTTAACTTTTAATAGTTGTTAACTAAAAAACTTCTAGAAGTTGAGTTAACATCTAAGATTTATGTATGAAAGATATTCATTTCATTAATAGTATTTCAGTTTTCAATTGACTTTTGGTTTCCTAAGCATTTATTTTTTCATTTTATTAGATATTTATTCCACAAAGGGTAATGGCATAAAATTGAATTGCCATGATATCTTACTTTATAATTATTACATTATGTGCCGTAGGAAATAGTTTTCAGATGGTGCTGGGTTGGAAGTCTGTTCATCATACATCCTGAAGAATATATCTTTTATCACATGTACATAATTAACTTGAAATAAACTAAGATAATAGTTTTAAGATTAATTATGTAAGTTGTTACACAGCATTATTATGTATTTACTGAAAGGCATGGTTCGGTATTTTGACAACTGATAAGCCACATTCATTCATCCTGCCTAGAATCTGGAATGGGGAGCACACAGACAGCTATGGAGGAAGGAAGACTGACAGCCTGGGTGTAGAATGGGAAGGAGTCTACTTTGGAGGGATTTTGAGCCACAGTAGACTTTAGACATGACCGCTGGGGAGACAGCAACAGCTTCTTTTATGGTCCAGAGTCCATTTGCTCAGTCCTATTGTCTAAACCACAGAGAGAATGACAATGAATACATGAGAGAAATGAGGAATCCTGAGCAATTCTTGCCAATGCCACTGTTTATACGGCCCACTTCTTTACAGAATGATGGGCACATGGTCTTCATCTGTTAGATTGTAATAAACCATGCCTCTAAAACATGTTCTAGCCATAACTAGGATCCTATTTAAGAACCATGAAGACTGACTTTTGTATTTCAATTTTACTGTGAATATAGAAAAAGTTCTGCCTCGTATCAATAAATTGTATTAGATTTGGAAAACCTTTCAATTCTTTTCTAAATTAGTGGATCTAACCAGAGTCATGAATCAAAATCACCTAACAACTTGAAATTTTTAAATACACATGTGTCCAATCGCCCAGACTCACGGCCCTGGGAGATGAATTGGAAAAACAGGAATATTTTAGTCTCCAAATCATAAAGACTTCTAGTTTCTATCTATAATAAAATGAAAGTAACAAAAAACCCAATAGCATTCTAAAACAGTAGAAAGCAGCAACAAAGATGTAAGAGATGTATAAAAAGCTGAGAGTGAGGAAGTTTCTATGGTAATTAGCCTGTGTCACACTGCCATAGCACTGACCACTCTGCTTTAACTCCAATACATTGGCTCACTCACTTTTAAATTCACTAATGATTTTTCTTTTTGTGGTCAAACTCCAGAAAGTATGCAGTAAGAAAATGGACAAGCTATTGTAGCCTTATTACACCCATTTGCTCATCTTGCGATTAGTATTTACAGTCTATGGTCTGGACACTCCTCACTGCCCAGAGAAACAGGGAATGGGATGTGGTCAGCTTACAGAGGAATGTCGATCAAGCTGCTTTACTTCAGTGGTTCACAAGCTTTAACATGCACAGAATCACGTGACCATCTTGGTAAAAGAGGAGTGGATGCTCCACGCAGAAATTTCTTCAATCAGGGTAGGGTTCTGAAGCTATTGTTTCAAATTTTCCCAGGGAATGTTTTCATGGTCACAGGAGTGACTCCAATTTGCAAACCATTGCTTTACTGTTTAGCTATGTCCTTCAGTGGGCAGAGACGCAAATTGTCAGAAACACACTTTATTATCTCAGCCCCAGAGGAGCCATGGCAGGAGAGTTGCACTGTTATTTCAGAGATATCTTAGCATGAATTGATCTGAATTCACACCCTAAGAACATTATTGTTGGGGGCTCACAGGAAATTAATACTTTTCACTCCTTACCCTAATTCTCAAACCACTGCTCTTGTCTCAAACCTCTGCAACAATTTCATTTTCTAAATAACTCTTCGGTTTTGGTGGGAGGGGACATCGAAACAAACTCTACACAATTGGAAACTCATTGATTTAGCCCAAGTCCTTGAAGAACAACACGGCAGAATTCAGTCTAATAATGGAGACAAACCCCAACTAATGGCAAACCTGCAGCATGTTTTAAGGAGCAGGAAAGCGTAAAGATTGTCAGCAAGGCCACATGTGCATCATGGGGGTCATTGACAGGCAGCTCAATTGCCGTTTCATTGAGACAAAAGTTCATAGGGAAAGAAATCCAGCTAGACACCAAACACATCTGTGTGTAGGCACCAGTGATCAAATGTGTTCATTCAAAGTCTATAATTTAAGCATGCATTATTGAAGTGTTTAATATTTCAAATGACTCTCTCAAAATTGTTTTCCCAAAGAAATATTATATAGACATTTAAATTATTTGATTTGTAAGACATGGTGTTCCTTAAATATAGGTACAAGAATTTTTGATTTTTGTGGAATGTCACTGACTTTATGGGTTGATTGCCCTGGAGATATACCTGTAATTGTTTAATTTTGCCATTAGTTTATCAGAAACCATGTGTTTATTATTTTTTAATCTTGAAACAACTCCTTAAATGCACTGTTTATTAAGCAGCTGATTTGGTCTTAGGCTGTAAGGAACACGCAGCTTTCACTCCTTCTAGCAGTCACCAGTTGGGAAATGCATTACTGAAAAATCAGTCCCTTTACAGGGCTGCTGTGGCTTTTACCATAATGGATTGTAATGTCCACTTAGTTTCATAGGCTGCATCGGCAAAGGATTCCATCCATTTTTCACCCACATGGATTTTGAATAATTTTTTTTCAAGGCAAAATTAGAACCCCAACTTCTAACTGCATGCGGCATTACCCTGTCCCATGAATGGGGCAGAACAGTTTGCTCTGCAGTCGGCCTCATCACCACGCTTCAGTACACGGGAAAATGAATGTCAGCCCCATTATCACTCAGGACTGGAAACAGGAGGCCCTTCCAATGCTAACACTGAATACTCTCTCTGCTTCTGTCTAGCTGAAGAACAGCAGCAACTGGCACACAGTAACCAGGCTGAAAGTCACACAGCTGTTGACCACGGAACGGCCCAGCAGAACCAGCAAGAGCAGAAGCAAGACTATAGCAACCCAGGTCTTAATTACTGTCACCTTCAACCCAAAAATTGTCAACACCATTTTGGTGGTGATAGATTATACTTCTCAATCCTGCTATATGATGGGCTAATTGTTTGGAGAAACTGCACTAGGTTGTAGGTTCCCAGATGGAAAAGATTTATATAAAGCAGTGGGAAAAAAAATCCATGCACAAACCCAGGAGACTAAAAATGCTGCAATCATACATCCAGGGAACATAACAGTTTTCCAAAATCAAACTCAGCTTTTGTTTGATGTAGAAGGAGCAGATTGACTGAGTTAAAAGAGCTGGGAAGGCTGTTTTCACTGATAAGACACCACAAAGGGGTGCTGATAACTTGGGGAAATGGTTGTATACCTAAGACCTTGTACTGATCAAAAGTCAGCCTGGGATGGGTTTTCTGTCCTATACTGTACTTTGCCATCTCAGACATAACTTTAGCCCCAAAATGAAGTCACTTATTGCCAGTAGCATCTCTTCACTAGTGGCATAGATTTTGGTAAGCAAAGCAAGGCACTCCATTGCGAACTGATATTTAAAGACATCTCTTTTTTTAAAATCCTAGAGATCATCATATTAATAGAAATAATCCAGATTTAGAGAGACAAACATCAAGTTTTCTTTCACACATGAAAACTAGATTTATACAAATTCACATATAGGATATGTATATATATATATATGCATGCACAAATATCATACATGTATTAGAGAGTTAATAATATATATGGTAGATAGATAGACAGATAGATAGATAGATAGATAGATAGATAGATAGATAGATAGATAGATGGAAAGGCTTAGCAGTAGGGGAAGTCATTGAGGAGGAGGAAGGAGAACTTCAAGAAACAGAATGGTGACAAGGACGACAGTAACAAAAGTTGAATATGAATGAAAAGTGATGATAAATACGTAGGAAATGCCATATTAAAATCTGTTATTTTGGATGATAATCCAAAGAATTAATTTTGAAAACTGAATTTGGCTAGCATACCTCATACTGTCCTTTAGTTTACGTTGAGACTCAGTATCTGTAAAACACTGCAGGTCTTTGAATCAGTGCAGCGTGTAAGGCTGCAGTGATAACTGCCTCTGTATAGAAGAGTCACTGTAAACTGGGATCTGATCTCATCAAGGAGGACTGCACTGACAGTCACCCTTGAACAACTACAGTGCCATACGTATGTGAAACTGTAGTTTCACTTAGTGCTGGGACACGGTATAATAGCAGAAATGAGCTACTAACTGGGGGATAGAAAGCCCATTCCTTTAGCTTTCAAACCCTCAATATCTGTATTTATTCAGAATGTGATGACAGGACTAAGACTTTTTAAAAGACAAATTATGAGAAAACTTTAAAATGTAAAAATTCAAGATATTACAATATTTTACATGTCATATCCCCTAAAGTAGCTTCATTGTTCATGTTGCCACTGAAACGTGGTCTGTAGTCTCAAATCTATAAGTGATATGGTGTACTTGAACTATCTTTATACACGATAAATTTTGACAGGTGTTACGTCTATTATTTTAATGGTATGAAATCTCTCTCTTTTACACACAGCTGTGATTCAAAAAATGGCAGAGCAAATGAGCCAGCAGGCGATGAAGCTGACGTTCTTGCAGAAGAAAGTAGACAATGTTTCTCTGGCTGCAGAGGACATGAGGAATGCATACCTCTCCCTGGAAGGGAAAATCGGTGAAGACAAAGGCAAGGAATTTCAACCTCTTCTAAAAGGTAAGCATAAAATGAAAATTATTCATTGACGTGTTCTCCTGCCACTTTGAATCTTTACTTTAAATTAGATAGTAAGGAAATTTTTAATGAGGTAATTTAAAATATGTAACTTAAAAATACTTGGAAATTGTGTTTCAAAACATATTTTTGTAATACTCACTTGAACCGGCATGTTGCACCTAGTTACAGCATAACTTGTATGTAGCCATCGTTAGAATGAGCCCACACGTCAATCACAGTTGCTAGAGAAGAGTGATGTTGGTGATGCAAAAGGAAGACATAAAAGGGGGGAAATGATGTAACTGTATTATAATCCAAAGCCTTTAAAACTGAATGTCAATAACATCGACAAAAGAATGCCATTTAACACACATGGAACAGTCAAGCAGTTTGGAGAGCGACCCCACACAGGTATTAACATGAGGCATGGTGACATACATGCTTTTGTAAACTCTTTACCAATGAGTTATAGAACTGCAGATGGAAAAAACGCTATCATGGAATATGATTTTGAGCTAATGTTTTGTTTGGTGTCTTTTTGAACACTGCTATGATTTTGAGATTTCCTCTGTGATTTTCCCAAAGGTGTATAAAAGAATGATAGCTAAGGAACCAAGTATATTTACATCTTGTTCCAATATCCTTCAGCAAGATCCATATCCATCTTATCTCTGCATCCTGTTTCCAGCCTATCAGTCATAATCTTTCCTTCCGATCATGTCAGCTTTTTGATAACTGGGATTAGACATCTGTCAGGGTTTTTGCTGTTGTTGTTTTCAGCTAGCAAACTCAATAAGGCTTAAATTTCCTTTTTTCGTATCAATCTTCAAAGCACTGTGACTGACTAATCTGAAGTTTCAAATTCAAAAGAAATAACCCTCACAGGTATAAATATTTCATTGAACATCATCAAGTTTTAGAAGCTGTGAAAATTGAACATAATTTTAATTAACTAAAAATGGCAAAATTATCCTGTAGAAAGCACAGACATATGTGTACTATGGAGTAATGCCTTACAAATGCCATGTATTTTAAGCTCAGATTTTGCTCTCCACATAGGATATCAATACACACTCACAAAATACTTGTGAAATAAGTGGGTAGCTGGCAAAATGCTAGTCCATGCCTCTGACTTGTTCATAAACAAAAAGAAAAGGTGGTTTTTGTATAATTTCTCTCCTGTAGCTATTTAAATTTTTCTAATTTAGCTTTCTTTCATATTTTGCTGCCATGTATTAGTGCATGATACTTCATGGTTTTTGTATTTTTATTCTTTTGTGCCTTTCTGTATTTAGCAACCCTAATCTTTAGAGAATACATTTCCAGGAATATGGTTTATAGGGTTTTCCTTTTTGGGGGGGTACTAAAAAAATTAATAGCAAGATGTTCAAAGAGGACATTTTTTTCTTCTAAAATTTCTATTACAATAGGTTTTTTTGAAAGTAATTTTATTAAATTATAAAAGTTTCCATTTCCGCCCCTCCTCCCACCACCCTCCCATTCCCCCCACTCCCTCTCCTCCTCCCTCTCCATCCCTAAGAGCAGTCAGGGTTTCCTGCCCTGTGGGAAGTTCAAGTTCCTCCCCCCTCCCTCCAGGTCCAGGAAGGTGAGTGTCCAGACAGACTGGATCCGCAAAATCCAGTATATGCAGAGGAAACAAGTCCCAGTGTCATTGTCAATGGCTTTTCAGAAAGACTCTGGGCCAGCCACATTCAGAGAATCCGGCCACATTCAGAGAATCTGGTTGGATTGCGTCCTCGTTCAGTCCCAGTCCAACTGGCTTTGGTAAACTCTCATTAGATCAGTCCTCTTGTATCAGTGGGTGATCGCATCCCTCGCAGTCCTTATTTACTTTTTCATTTTCTTCATCCTTCTGCTCCTCATTTGGACCTTGGGGGGCTCAGTCCGGTGCTCCAATGTGAGTCTCCGTCTGTATCGCCATCCATCGCCAGATGAAGGTTCTCTCTGGTCTTGCCTTCTTTGCTCACGTTCTCTTTCCTTCTGCTTCTCGTTTGGACCTTGGGAGTTAAGTCCAGTGTTCCGATGTGGGTCTCTGTCTGTCGCGATGAAGGTTCTGAGACTCTTGTCTATTTCCAATCTCGAGGCGGATAGCTACATGATTTTCATCAGGTTCACCTTCTTATTTAACTTCTCTAGGATCACGAATAATAGGCTCAAAGACCTTTAATTATGGTTAGAATCCACATATGAGTGAATACATACCATATTCCTCTTTTTGGGTCTGGCTTACCTCACTCAGTAAAGTGTTTTCTATTTCCATCCATTTGCACGCAAAATTCAAGATGTCATTGTTTTTTACTGCTGAGTAAAACTTTATGTGAGTCTTCATGTGTGCTAAATAAACACTTTGTAAAAACACAAGGCTGTGGAGCCTACTTGGTGATGGCTCACTGTATACAACTTTCATTTTTAAAAGTCCTTTGTTTCCTGAATTTCATATGATAATCAATGTGCTTTTCTGTAAATTTTAATGAACAGTTCTTCCATTTGTCATTATTTGTAGCTAAACTTTATAAGTATATATTTTATTTTTCCTATTGTTTCCGTATGAGATAATGCTTTTTGTTTGTTTGTTTAATTGGTTTTTAGTTTGGTTTGGTTTTAGACTTTTCAAATATGCACTTTATACTTAAGTCATTTTAAATAATCCAGACCATATTCCTTCCCATCCTCTTCCCTTTCTTCTTCTGCCTCTTTCTCTCCCACTTCTTTCCTCAATTATTTCTTCCTTCCTTCCTTCCTTCCTTTCTTTCTTCCTTCTTTCCTTCTTTCTTATCTTCCTTCTTTTCTTCCTTCCTTCCTTCCTATCTTCGATCCTCTCTTTTCTTCTTTCTTTCTTGTTTCGCACAGCCTCAGGATGGGTAATTTCAAGTGTTGGAAACACTATTAAGTGTTCACTGAGGGTGATTTCCTCTTGTTAGACAAAAAATTAATGTCATATTATTAACATGTCTTAAATTCATATTTTAAAATAAGTTTCACTCATTTTGTAAAGAATAGTAATTTCAGTTCTTGTTTTCGTAAGGCATTCTTAAGTTTTATGGATATCTACATTTCCCTTCAAGTCATTAAGGCTTTTCTCTGTGATTTACTAGCATTCATGAATTCACAATGTAAGTGCTGCCTTTAATTGCTAGACAGTTGACGATGCAGTCATATACTAACTTTAGGGATGTACTCACACAAAAACTCCAGCATAATTTATTTTCATTCAGAGCTAGGCCTAGGATTGCTGTAGAGCAGTCTGTGTCACTGGGGTCAATAGCACTTCCTTTTTGCCATTTGCCCATAAAAACATTGGCTTATGGTGATAGTATGTTCTACATGGTAATTGATTTTCCATGTCTTATTTGCCAGTCAAATAAGTGGCTATCTTTTAAGAATACTAGAAAAATTTTTTAATGTCATAAATATATGCAGGGGAGAATTACTTTCACTAGTACGTGTAGTTAGTGTTTGGTGTTAGACTTTTAGCCTTTTCACAAATATGTCTTTTTAATTCAAAACTGTGTATTTTTCCTATTTTTTATCTTATTCTTTTTAGCTCTAAAATCAAAAAGCATTGATGATCTGCTAAGGAATATAGTAAAAGAACAGTTTAAAGCGTTTCAAGATGACCTGCAAGAAACGATTGCGCAGCTCTTCAAGACTGTGTCAAGGCTGTCAGAGGACCTGGAAAGCACCAGGCAGGCAGTTCTCCAAGTCAATGCGTCCTTGGTTTCAGTAACAGCCCAGCAGAAGCTCCTTTTAACACAAGAAAATCAACCCACATGGAAGGATATCACAGACCTAAAGAACAACATCACAAATGTCAGGCAGGAAATGGCCTTGACCTGTGAGAAGCCGCTCAAGGAGCTGGAAGCAAAGCAGGCTCACTTGGAAGGAGCAATAGGACAGGAGCACTCAGAACTAGTTCTGTACCAGCAAACCCTCAATGAAACTCTCTCCAAAATGCAGGAAGCGCACACACAGCAGTTACCAGTTCAGCAAGCATCGGGAATGGAGAATGTTGCCACTGAGGAATCAAGCAGCAGTAACGTCACTAAATATCTCTCCGTGCTCCATGGGACAACAAGCAAGCAAGGGCTGATGCTGCTGCAGATGCTCAGTGATTTGCGTGTCCAAGAAAGCAAGATCAGCAACCTCACCGTTCTTTTGGAGATGGAGAAAGAGTCAGTCAGGGGAGAATGTGAAGAAATGGTGTCTAAATGCAGGCATGACTTTAAATATCAATTGAAGGACACAGAGGAGAATCTGCATGTGCTAAACCAAACCTTGTCTGAGGTTATCTTTCCCATGGACAACAAGGTGGATAAAATAAGTGAGCAGCTGAATGATCTGACCTATGACATGGAGATCCTCCAGCCTTTGTTGGAGCAGAGGCCGTCAATTCGACAGCCGGTTATACGCGAGCCAAAGGAAGCTGCAGTTACGCGCAGAGAGGTACAGAACCTGATCAGGGCTGTCAACCGCCTGAATGTTCTTACCAAAGAACTTACAAACAGACACAACTTACTCAGAAATGAAGTGCAGAGCCGGGACGAATTCTTAGAAAGACGTATCAGCGACCATGTCTTGGAAACAGAAGATGGCCTAAATAAGACAATGACTGTCATAAACAATGCCATCGATTTTGTTCAAGATAACTATGTGCTGAAGGAGAGTTTAAGTGCTAGGTCAGATAATCCCAAGGTTTGTGAGTGTAACCAAAATGTAGAATCCATTTTGTCATTTATTTCTGAGTTCCAGCGTCTGAATGATTCTATTCAGACTTTAATCAACGACAATCAGAAGTATAATTTTGTTTTGCAAATTGCTAAAGCCCTTACAGTTCTTCCCAAAGATGAGAAACTAAGCCAGTTAAACTTTCAAAAGGTTTATCAAATGTTCAATGAAACCTCTTCCCAGGTGAAAAAATGTCAAGAAAACATGAGTAATTTAGAAGAAAATATACTCTCAGCAACAAAGACTGCCAAAGAATTTGAAACTCGTTTGCAAGGCGTTGAATCTAAAGTGACCAAGACACTCATACCTTACTATATTTCATTCAAAAAAAGTGGTGTGCTATCAAATGAGAAAGATACTGATCTTCAATTGAAGGTATTAAATTCCAGATTTAAGGCACTGGAAGCAAAATCTATCTATCTTTCAGTGAATTTCTCTTTGCTTAACAAAACTGTTCATGAGCTTTCAATGACATGCCACAATGCTTCTGCAAGCACCTTTGGACAGAGTGCTCCCTTACCTGTGTGGACCGAAGGTCCCCTGAGAGACAGTCTGACGGAACTTGTGGAATCAATTGTTAAAATAAAAACTCAAGCTGCTCTATCTAATTTAACCTGGAATGTTGATCGATTATTGTCTGATGGTCTGGCAAATATTGTCAAGCCTCAGAAGCAGGTAAAACTTCAGAAGAAACCCAACGCACTTAAGAAATCTGTGAACGTGACGACCATCTTGATAGGCCGGACGCAAAGAAACACAGACAGCATTCCACATCCTGGTAAGCTGAAACGGAAAAACAACTTTGAGCCTCTTTCATGCTATAGGTTACATGCTATTGGGTAGATCCTATTTCATAGCCAGACTGGAGGCAGGGAAGGCATTTACTCATACTTGGGCAAGGTAAAGTAATACAAAGTAACTGATGTACTCTGTTGTGTCTGATTGAACATAAGTTAGGTGTCAGTGTGTAGCTGAACTACATGTTTCCACTCTGTCTAACCAGACCACTACAAAATAAGTAAACATTTTCCTATGAAACATCTCTCCATGTGGCTAGTTAAGAAATTTAGACCATAAATTAATCAGAGCTTTAGTGGGTAAAATATGAAATAAGTACTCAGATTGTCTCTCAAATTACTGCATTAAGGGACTATTCAAAAATCAGATATGAATAGACTACAGAAAGGAATGGATGTGAAGAAAAAATTCTACTTAGCTACAATTTAGCAGAGAGTGAGATATCTTTGAAAGCTCAAAACAATAATTTGGCTGCAGTAAATATGCGATGCAGAAGTATGAAGTTGCTGCAGTGCCAATCATTGTCAAACAGACCAACCCTAGGACACAGTTAGGGCAGTACTAAATAAATATGGTCCAACACAGTGAGGGTGAGAAGTAAGAAGAGATGGTTGAAAGGAGCCGTGAAAATTGTTGTGAGGGTGTAATCAGCAGAAAATAGGAGCAGGGGAAGAAGGGAAGACCTAAGAGTCAGGTCTTGGTCCTCACTATAGCACTAAGTCTCTACTTTAGTCAATAGCCTTAAAAAGAAAAAACAAGCCAGGCAGTGGTGGGGCACACCTTTAATCTAACCACAGGAGGCAGAGGCAGGTGGATCTCTGTGAGTTCAAGGCTTGCCTGGTCTACAAGATCTAGTTCCAGGACACTTAGAACTGTTAAACAGAGAAACCCGTCCAAGAAAGAAAAAAGAAAGAAAGAAAAAAAAGAAAGAAGGGAGGGAGGGAGGGAGGGAGAGAAGGAAGGAAGGAAGGAAGGAAGGAAAAGACAATTACCCCCTCTGCAACTATTACTCGTGCTGAAATGATTGGTTTGCAGCAGGTAATTTCCTGGGGTCATGAGGAGAAAATTACCACAGTGTTTCACTGTGAGAAATGCTCTGCTCACAGCCAAGAGAAGGTCACTTACAGAAGAGAGAAACACATTCTGAAGTTTTGAAACAGGGCATGAGAGGATAGCAGGACCATTAACAAATGTTGCTGGCTGTTCTCACTTGAGTGATTGACATAATATTTGATTAAGGCCCTGACAGGAAATAACACAGCTCTGAATTTTGTTTTTATGATGGGAGCTTGATAAAATTCCTTACTATGCATTTATTTACTTTTCAACCAAGTTTTATACTCTTATCTATGAAAGTTAATAACAAAAACTTCTTTATGGCATCTCAGTTAAAATAAAAAATAATAATGCCAATGCAATAGAGAGGCATTGGTACCATTATAAATGCAGTCGATGTGGAAATTCCTTTCCATGAATTCACTGTCTAAGGCCTGGGATCCTTTCAAGCCAATGTCATTTGCTCGCCTGTCAACCCGTCCCTCCTATTGTGGGCTATAAACTGGTGGCATTCCATGAACAGCTGAACAAGTAAGGACTAAAGAATATGATAAAACCAGGGTTGCTAGCTAGAGCGTCTGATGACAAAGTCAGGGATGCTAGCTAGAGCACCTGGGGGGCCATAGCGATGGCTCGATGGTTCAGGGGGTAAGGTGTCTGCTATGAAAGCCTGGGTCCTGAGTGCAGATCCTCAAAACTCATGCGAAAAGCCAGGCATTGCTATGATCATCTGTAACGGCAGCAGAGAGGACCACACTCAGAGTAGACTCTGGAACTCTTTCTCACCAATCAGTCTAGCAGAAATGGTGAACTCCAGATTCATTGAAGAGATGGAGAACCCTCAAAGAGTATGATGGTGAGCCATTGAGGAAGGCATCCTGACACCAACCTCTGGCTCACTCACAGGCACATGCTCTGATACACAAGTGTATACACACAAGCACAAGTTTTGTTGTGATTGTCTTGTTTTTGAAGACAGGATTTCTCTGTGTAACCCTAGCTATCCTGGAACTCGCTCTGTAGACCAGGTTGGCCTCGACTTCACAGAGTTCTGCCTTCCTCTACCTCCCAAGTGCTGGTATTAAAGGCATGTGCCATCACTTCCCAGTGTCCTTTGACTTCTGATATTGTAAGGTAAAACCCGGGACCACATTTTCTTTGGCGTAGCTAAAACTTGAGGAAAACACCATCATTTCTGGAATCTATTTATCATATTATTCATCTTTTAGCAATATTTACAAAAGTGTGATTTGTGAGAATAATCTATATATCAACTTTAATGTTAATAGATGATAAGTTACTTTGAGGCCTGACCCTATTAACATTCACTCACTGAAGACTTTGTAGATGTACTAGACCTGTTGCCTCATTCAACAATACCTACAAGACAGATATTATCATTCTCTTTGGAAGAATCAGAAACAGCCAGCGAATAACCACAGTGTCCTTCAGATAGCAGGTTCCCTGATCTACTGCCTAAGGCTCCATCCTCCATCCTCGCCTACAGAGATGGGAGAATGTATTCCTATGCCTTATCCCTTACGCTACTCTTCCATGCATTTCATGTTCTTCAGACCAAAAGCTCAATGTGACCAAAGCTCAAATTCCTGGGACTTTCTTTTATTAAATATTCAGACTGACACCTGAGACCTCCATTGATATGGCTGAAATCTTGATACTGATTTCAGTTTGACTCTCCTGTGACCTGACCACAGGGTAGTTACTGAAAGTCTCATGGGTTATTCATGAAATCTGCCTTAACCTGTTGTCGTAAAAGGGAAAGCCTGCATTCGGTTATGCTAAATATGGTATCTGCCAGGGCATTGCTGAAGCTATTCTGACTTAGTTTCTAAACACTTGATTTGTTTTTATACAATACTCAGATAGATATCAAAGATTTATGCGTTTTAATTTCATGTTGGAAGGTTTGTTTGCACAACAATTGACTGACTGATCCCTGGAGAGAGACTGGCTGCTTGCCCTCTCAAGGGCAGCAGACTCTGCAGTATCACTGTGCAGTAAGCAAACTTCCTGGTCTCCACTCCCCGCTGTTAAAGCTTAGAGTCCTGTTACAAACCTCTTTTATCCATGATTGTTCCTGTACTCCCAAGGAAGACTTCACTGTACTGAATATTCAGCACCGTGCCAACATAGTTTTCCAAACTCATCTGTCTCGTGAATATAAGCAAGTTAGGAGGAAAGCCTAGTGAATCCTTACCTGTTTTCAGGAGGAAAGCCT